TTTTTTGATTTATTGTAGAGATGAGGTCTCGCCAAGTTGCCCAGACGGGTCTCGAACCCGCGGGCTCAGGCAATCCACTCACCTCCCAAGGTGCGGGATTACAGGCTGAGCCGTCGAGCCCGGCTTGAACTGCTCTCTTGTTTAGAAAAACAGCTTAAGGGGCTCCCTAGATGTGGTCTGGAAGGAGAGACGCAAGGTTAAAAAAAGTTGAATAAAAGAAAAGGACTCTGTGGAAAGGAGCCCTGGCAGCTGTGGAGGGAGTCGGTTGTAGAATAGATGGGAAAGGGCTCTCAGAGCTGAAGAGGGATCCAGTAATTGGTGGGCAGCTAGAGTATGAAGAAAGAGATGGACAGGAGGGTACCCATGATGGCAGAGGAGTTTTGAAGACTAGTGATGACCTGTATTTAACTGTAAGCTCTATCCTGTATGCACTGTGTTGTAATTTCTTTTCACAAACCAATTTCTTCAGAAAAGTATATTATATTATATACAGCAGGCTTGAGTCAGTGAAACTTCAGTCCCTGTAGTGAGTGGTCAGTGTTCAGCACAGGATGAATTGAGAGCAGCTAGCTGGAGGAGCTGTGGGCAGTGGTTAGGAGCCAGTGGCTTCAAAGGAGTAGGCTGCACAGTAAACTGACTTTGGAGTGGACATGAGATAAACCTAAGGGAGAGGGAGAGGTGACCTGGAAAGGAGGGGAGATATCTGGGTTTTTTTTTTTTTTAAACAAAGGGAAAACTCCCCCAAATAGGGGCCAACCAGGCCCCGAGATCTCCAGATGGGCTGAGGTTGGAATTGGGAGAGGGGTTCAGCTTCTAGGGTTTGGAACCCTCATTCCTTTCTATCCCTCAAACATACCAACTGATACCCTCCCCCCACCTCTAAGGCAGCTTCCTCTTAGCCTGATCCAGTGCATGATGGGATGTAAGTTCTCTCTCTGGGGTTCCATGCGTTTATCCCTGCAGCTATCCCCTGGAATACCTGGAACCTTCTTGGCCTCAGAGATGTCTCCTAGAGTTTCAAGCTCTAGCAGAGAATTGTAACTGCCTTCTTTGCCTTGCAGGAGACAAGGTGCCTGGCAGTGCCAATGACTTGGTGGCTTGAGTCTTGGAATCATCTAGGCTGAGTTGGTTTATTTGTGGCACCTCATTGCACACCCAGCCCAGAGCACCTTGTCCACTCCCCACATCTCCCTCATCCCCCGGACACACTCACCCAGCTTCACTTGGAGCGGGGATGGTTTGTAATTCATGGCTACTGACTCACCCTCCCGGGCGTCACAGTCTCCGTCTGAGATAGAGGCGGCGGCTGGGTCCTGGTTGGGAGAAAGCAGAGAGACAGCAAGTTGTTAGGAGGTGAACACAGGGGGCTGCCTTCTGGGCTTCTGGGAGCATTCACCTTTGGCAGGCAGGGCATTCAGGGAGAGAGGGGCAGAACCAACCACCATGGACAAAGACATTGGGCTAGGTGGAAAAACCAAAGATCTTGATCTCACTTACACCCAATAGGGTGTCTGTTTTCTTTTTTTTTGAGTTGGAGTCTCACTCTGTCGCCCAGACTGGAGTGCAGCGGCCGC